TAAGAGCAGAGCAGCAGGATGCCCCAGTCACAGCAGCACTCGTGTCACCAGCTGGATGGCCTTCCCCAAGTGCAGATTCTCAGGCTTGTCTGGACCCAATACCCCCAACTTTTGTGCTGAGAAGTCCTGGCTCTGCTCCTAGGGCTGACTCCAGTTCTCCTGAGAACCTGCTTCCCGGCCTTTGCCTGTCCTTGGGCCTACAGTAGGCCCCAGTGGAAGTCCATTTGGTACCTTAGAGGCTCCTCTAAGCAGCTGGGGGAAGAATGCTGACCTAACCCCCGGGACCCTTCCATGGCCTCCAGGCCATTCTGCTTTCTCTGCTCCTCCTGGAATCTGGGGGGTTCTGGCCCCCAGGAGCGCAGCCCTTCCTCCTGACATCAAGACAAGAGATGGCAATTCTATGCCACAGATGCAGCACCACACAAGCTTCAGCAGGGCGCAAGAAGCATGGGCTCTGCTGTCTCACAGGACTGGATGCTGCTGTCTTGCTCTCATAAGCTGTGTGACCTTGGGCAGGTGGCTTGCCTTCTCTGATCCCCAGTTTGTCCATCTATAAAGTGGTAGAAATTGTAAGAACAACCCCATTATTACTTTTGCACACTATACCAAATGCTGCTCAAAATCCTGGCACTACATTCTTAGAAAGAATCCTCTAGACAAGGTAGGCCAGGGAGTGCAGAATTCAACTATCAAACATTTTAAACAAAAATGGTCACAACAGTACTTTTCCAGAAAACCCACATATGTAGAACAGCCCATGCTCCAAACACAGTGACAGATTACTCTGAACAAAAACAATGGCTAACATTTATCGAACATTTACTACGTACTAAGCACTTTCCGTACACACCTTCTGCATTGAATCCTTACACAAATCCCATCCTATGCATGAGGACACTGATTCTTCAAAAGGTTTGTAACCCGCCCAATGAGGTGTGCGAGCTGGACTTGAACCCAGGCACAGCTCAGGGTGGACTCTCATCTCTCGTGCAGGTGGAACTTCACACTGCTGTTCTGGTGCCTGTTCAGCAGGTCAGCCCTGGAAGGCAGCCCCTGCTTTGGTTTGGGCTTCCCCCTGCAGCTGAGCCTACAGAAGTGAGCTGAGACCTCAAGGATCTTTCTTGAGCCCGAGGTGTAGACATAGGGTCAGCTGGAGGGCCAGAATAACCAGCTGAAGATCAGGATGTTCTATGAAGTCTGCTTCAGGCAGTGGCAGGCCCAGGTGAGACATGGCTCATGTGTTCCAGGGAGAGCTAGAAAAACAACCCACCTTCAGACAATCTCAAGGGTGTGTGTGTGCATGCATCTGCATACATGTGCACACGTGTGTACAAAGGGGTATCTGACTCTCGTTTTTAAATAAGGCTGGGCCCACTGTTTCCTGAAACTCCTCTTTCACTGAAGCCAGCCCTGCTCTGTCTGCATGCACATCACCCTCTCTAGCTACCGGTTATCCTTTGCACCTGGTACACAGGTATAAGCATTATTTTGCCTGAATTGTTTCCATGTGAACCAAAACATTCTGTGATCCTTAAGAGGCCTGTGGGCCTCTGCCTTGGATTGAGTGTCCCCCCAAAACTTGACCCCCACTATGACAGTGTTACAAGGGTGGGAAATCCTACTATGGTAATTGAACGGTGGGGCCTTGAAGAGGTGATTAGATTCTGATGACCATGCCCTAATGAATGGATTGATAATGGTGGTCATGGTTCTGAGGGCCTTAAAAGGAGAGCACATGAGAGTCTCTCTCTCTCTGCTCTGCCTTTCTGCCATCTGAGAACCCCGTTTGTTGCCAAGGAAGAACCTCATCAAATGTGTACCCTGGACTGTGGACTTCCCAGTCTCGGGAACTATAATAAGCAATACATTTCATTTGCTTACAAAGTACTCAGTTCCAGGTATTTTGTTATAAGCAAAAGAAACAGATTAATATAGCCTCTTTCAGTCTTTTCATGGATTTTTCTAATTCACACTTTTCTCCAGTAATTCAAGTTTCCGTTGGCTCAATCTTATTTGGATTGCTGGAGGTTCTCCCTGCTCCTTTCCTGCACCTCTTCTTTCCAGGAGGCTTACCAGGACTAAACCTTGGTGTGTAGAAGGCTTTCTAGCACCCAGAAGCTGCTTTTCCCATGTGCCTTTGCCACTGCAGGTGGGCCCTCCTGTCCCGCACAGCGGGTGGCTGCAGCAACATCTGGCTTATGTTGAGCACCTCTCAGAAATATTAATTTTTACAAAAGTCAGTGAATTTTATTGTAATATTAATTCTACCTTCTTATAGTGGGAGCCAGGGATCCCTAAGAGAGTAAATTGTACCATGGCCTACTGGAGGCAGTGGCAATTAGAGAAGGGATTATAATTCAATTAGGGTTTTTATACTTGATTACCATAACAGTATTGCCAGTGAAATTCTCCTTGCTTATATTAGAATGACTCTTTACTCTCCAGGGATGCTATAGACTGAACATTTATGTTCCCCCAAAGTTCATATGTTGAAATCCTAACTCCCACCTTGTGACCATAAGGGGAATGTCACTGGCACACTGAAGCTGGGGGAGCAAGAGGATGGAATGGGCCGGGGGTCCTTGAGACCACCTATCTTTCGAGTTCTTGTTACTTGTAATATTAATAAACCCTATTGATCAAGTGGCTTTCAGTTGGGTGTTTTGTTAGTTCCATGCTAAATCTCAGTGCCCAACATAAAATCAAGCAGTTTTACATAAAAATGCAGATTCATGACTTCTGTTGAAAAATCAGAAGATCAGGAAACACTGGGCTTGCCTTCCTTCCTGGCAACAACAGCCTGGAGCTAAAGGTCAGCACCATTTCCCTGAGGTGTGTGCTCTTTAGTTTTCTACAGTCTCCACTATTCCCTAATGCCCCCCACATGCCTCATTCATTGCATTCCTTCCTAGTCCCTGAATAATTTGACCTTGTGACCACTGATCTCTACTATGGACTCTGAGTGGGTTCACTCATAAAAGGAAGAAAGGTCTTGCAGCCCACAGCTTCCAGGGTGGGCTCTGACGATTCACATTGTGCACAACCTGCTTTGCCAGAGAGACTGACTTAGTAACCCCTCACAAATGCCCTCATTCATAGCCATTTTATTGGTGCATTAGGGAGTTACATTGCCTTCACATTAGTAGAGCAGGAAATTAAAACATATAGATCCACAAAAACACCTGCCTTTTGTGAACTGGCTTATGCTGTTAATTATGGCTCCCTCAGGAGCCATATGCTTCATGTTGTTACATCCTTTGTAATTTTAATTACATTTTAACCAATGCTTTTATATGGTCTGTTTTAGGACTTTTAATGTAATTATCACCCTTAAGAATTCTGGGGTGGTTTTTTTTTTTGTTTTTTGTTTTTTGGGTTTTTTGTTGTTACTTTGGAGAGTCCTTCCTTACCATTTATGTTTAAATGTAAGTAGTTATATTAAATTTACACTTCATGGTCCAGAATTTCAAGTCATTATTAACTGAAGTATAATCCTTTCACTTTTCTCCTGTTTGCTATTGAGGAACTTGGGTAAAACCAGAATCTAATAAATTTGGGCTATACCAGATTGTTTTTTTAACAGTAGCAAAGGGTCTTTTTCCTGTATTTCTATTTTTCACTTTATTTTTGAAAATTATAGACTTTTTATTTAAATCAGAATATTGTTTTATTTTCTAATTTAATAGGAATCTTAGCTCTGGATTTAAAATTATGTTTTATGAATTGCTACGAATTAGCTTTTAAAGCATCTCACATTCATTTTCAAAGTTATCTGCAAGCATAACTGCTGTATTTTAAAAAGTCAATGGTTTGTCTTTGGATGGAAATCAAGCCTTCCCCGTCCCTTCGTCACCCACAAGACAATCCCGTGACTCTGTGCCAAAGCCAGTTTGGAAGGACCACAGCTGGGGAGGCCTGTGCTGAGGCTCATTGAAGAAGCTCTTTATAAGGTGGTATGTGCACTCCAGGGTTAATCTCATAGCAGAAATGGCTGATCAAACACATGCTGATGGTTCCAGCCAGCACACCCAGCCCTGAGCCGCTCAACTGACAACAGCCTGAGTCGTCTGAAATGCAGTCTGTTACACTAACTGCTGGAAAGTGACAGTCTTTGGACATCAAAGGTGCATCACCTCACAGCATCCAAGCTCAGGAACCTGGAGAACCACATAGTGCATCTGATCAGAACTGAGTGAAGGGAATGCTCACTGCTTTAACAGATGGCCAAGGAGCAGCATGCTCTATACACAGACCGAAGAAGGTTAATACTGACTGGCTGCATTCAACAATGCAAAGAGCTGAGCTAGAGATGTGGCACATTCTCGTTTCTGTTCTTGTCCCTTCTACCAGAGCCCTATCATGCTGAAACACTTCCTGCTTGCTAGACAGAAACAGAAACATGCCACCACTTGAAGAACTCTTAGAGCAGAGCTCTACAAAACTCAGACCCTACAGGGGAAAAACTCTTACTCTGAAGATGCTTCTTACCTCTAGTGGCCACCCAGCCGTTCCCTTGAGATGGGCTCAAGGCACTGATTTCCTGGTCTATAAGATTAGTCACACCAATTCCTACAGAGGCACCAAGTAAGGCCATCCTCCCCCCAAAACAGGGGTACTATTGAATTCTCTGCAATGGGTTGAGCTACAGAACTGGTTCACAAACCTAGACTGGAAGATTGGAAGGACATTGTACCCACGACCTTCAGACAACTGCAGTGACCTCCTTCCCCACACATGCTCTCATGCATCTTTAATTTCATTGTATTTGCTGGAGATCTATGCATTTGTTTCTAGATTCAACGATTCAGAAAGCCCTACAAATGCTAAGGCCGCAGCTCTGAGTTTCAAATGCATTTCAGAGACATATGGTATGAGAAGCGATGGCTCAGAAAGCATCTGAGCCCTTGCTTCCAAGCTCAGCACCTGGAATGACCTACAGAGCTGGCTTTGGCCTCAGCAGTGAAGCCCACTGCATCACCAAATGACCTCAGGTGCATTGGTTGGCGGCAACACCAAGCCTTCCAGGTGGGAGGTTTTATTATGTTTCACAACCATGAAAACATAGGAAGGTGGCTGTTACAGCAAACATTCCAGATAGAGGAATCAGCCGAGCTACCCCAGACCACCCTGGCAGTGTCCTCCCCCACGTCCCTCAGAGATCGTTCCTGGTGCCTTTCCCTTGCAAATTGGAAAATGTCGTAAGTAGACATCTAAAGTAGCAGGAACGCCACCAGCGAAATGAAGCAGAAGGATAACTTGGAGAAACAACTGATGAGAAACACACTACAGAAAACCTTTTCTATTGTGTTATGATGTCAGGGTGGAAGAGTGTGCCTGGGGCTCAGCGTCCATTCTCCCAGGACACTAGTCATACGGGACCCTCGGTGATCCCCTCCAGAGGCGAGCTGGGTGTGCTATCGGCTGTGGGCCTCTCCTCTTTCTTCAGCGAGGTTGGGACTCGGAGACTGACGTACGGTTTATGACAAGCTGTGTTGGCCAGAGGAGGGTAGTGCTGTCTGTAGCAAATGTATGCAAAAATGAGGCCAATGACTCCACCAACAAAGGAATCTAGGCAAGAAAGAGCAAAGTGGAAGAAACGTGTTACTCTTCATTCAAAGGTAGCCAGTTGTGTTTTCCAGAGAGCATTTTTCCCACCTGCTCCAGGCACTGGCTTGCTTTTAGGACCCCCCTGAGAGACTATAGGAAAGACAAATCACCCGGAGGTACAGATCTTGGTGGCCTCTGTAAACTGTCATCATTTTTAGCACTTAAACATCAAAAAATGACTACTTGATTCTCTCTTCCCTTATTTCTTTAACTCACACCTGAGCAATACATGAACTCAGATTTGTATCCCCGATGTTTACAATCAATTCTAAGTTCTGGAAGAAGAATGCAAGCCATCTCTATAGGATCTAAATACCGTCAGGAGCTGTAATTTCTTTCTCTTTAGCAAGTTTCCACTGGAGTCCTGTGACATTACTAGTGTGCCACAAAAACCCAGTGGGTGTGCTGGTCTTTGCCTCACAGTAAATGGCTTCCCAGGGATGAAATGAACCTTCTGAGTCACAAAGTGAATACAACATTTTACAATACGCCAGAATCGGCAAACTTCACATAACTCCAGTGGGAGGGGCTCCCTCCCTCCAATGAGCTGCAGATCTCACCCAGTTGGGGAGGTAAGGGTGGACGGACAAGGCAGGAGGGTTCACCTGTGGGCAAGACAGGCCCCCCACCAAGGAGCAGCCCAACAGAGACCTCATGAAAGCAGCTCACCCAACAGCCCTCGCTTAGTGTGTACGCACGCCTGCTTTAAACTGTGTCTATGAATTATTCTTGCCAAAAAGATCCTAGCTCAATGGAGAACCTCCCCTAACAAAAGAAATTTGGAACTCTTCTTAAGGTTGCTGCTATACCCTGGTGGCTCCCACTTGCACATTTATTTATTTTTTCCATTGATGGAAATATTTTTTTTTCTTTTCTTTTATCAATATACAATCTAGTTGATTTTTGTGTCCCTTTACCTTGTTAAATAGCACAAACTTCTATAGGCAGGTAGCATCAGCCCCATTTTCCCCAGAAGAACTGGGCTTGAACCATGATACTGTAGCCTGCACTGGTCCACAGTATGTGCTTGACCCTGCCTGACAGGTTCATTCCAGGCTTGACAACCACGTGACTCTCTGCAGTCCCAGCCTTCAGAATGCAGCCGGCCTGTGGGCTGAAGGGTGTGTGCACCTGGGTTCGGGCAAGAGGCAATGGTTTTCCTTAGTGATCAGTGCTCAACCTCCCAGTGCTGGGAAACTACTCTGTCTCTATGCAGTGTGTAGAAACTTCAGTTTAAATCACAAGCGAATTCCCCTGTGTTGCCTTTAGGTGAAATTTTGTGTGGCTGTCAAGGAAATGTATCTTTCAAGAAGGCAAACTGCTCAGTGTTTAGATCTGTGCACCACACTTAGCAGTCTTTGGGGGATCCCATAATAGGTATACTGGCTCTAAATAGATCAATCAGAATAATTTTTGAGGACAAGGACAATATTTTTGTATTTCATTATCTTTCATAGAATGACTTCTACCTTCAGGAGTTCTACTAGGCTAATAGTAAAACACAAAAAGTTATGTAATGAATAGCTTTAAATTCTTTTAAATAAATTTAGTAATTTGGTGCATGCAATTGTATTGATCTACAATAGCAAAACAGACAAAGAAGCATCAATAAAAGAAAATCTCTTTTAGACGTTTCTGTGATGGTAGCGTAAACATCAAGTGTCTGCTCTGGACACAGAGGTTAGTGAAGTTCCTTCAAGTGCAAGTAGATGAAGCCATTCTCCTGCTCGGTGGAATCCCTCCCATTGCTCTGAGAGGACCACCCAAGCCCCTGCCAACCTTCCCAGTCATTTCCCCCTCACTCGTTCTACCAAAGCCATGGTCTTCCTTTCTGTTCCTCAAATACACCTGCTTCTTCCTCTGTCATGGCTCCACACGTGCTGCTCTGATTCTGGACTCCTGGGAATCCCTTCTCCTCACCCCCTTTCCTATTCAATTTCTGTTCCTATTTCAGAGCTTGACTCCACATCATTGTGCAACGAAACCTCACCTGACCTCCAGACTAGACCAAGTCTCCTAGGTACAAACTTCAATAGCTCCCCTTCATTCCCTGTGCAATCAGAGTGTTGAATACTAATGAACTGCAATTTTTAAATGTTTAGCACTGGACTGTAAACTCCATGAGGACAGGGATTGTGTCTGTCTTGTCAGCTCGCCTGACACCTTGCTCACAGCTGAATTAAGTCTATTGAGGGAAATGCATGCACAGTAACTCAGGGGTTAGAGTCAGTTGCATTCCTGTGTATCCTTGGGCAAGGCCTTTCCCTCTCTGGTCCGCTGTTACCTCATCAGTAACATAAGAGCTTTGAACAAGTGCATGGTGGCTCAGAGGCCTTCCGGTGTTAAGTGTTCTGGGAATTTGATCCGCTGGGTCAGCCTACTGAGGCCACGCATTGAGATTATTTGGAAACTCTGCCAAGGTTTGTTTAGAAAATGGGTCATATCCTTGGATCGGATAAAACATCACTTAGAAACAAAAGTCATTCTAAGTGGTGAAAGAGAGAGAATAAACAATCGTCACTGCTTCCTCCCCGGAAGAGCTCAGCTCTAAATAAGTGGTGGACTCAGTGTGACTGCATGGCAGCCATGTGGCAGAAGGTGAGAAATACTTACTAGTGACTTTGTTCAACACTTGTCAGCAGCAATCAAGGCAGGAGGGGAGGGCAGGATGGTGAGAGGGACAGTGGTGACACTAGGAGGCTGTGGGCTTCAGTTGGCTCACCCATCCTCACCCCTTCCCAAGAAGGAACTATTGGCCACGTAGAGGCACCAGGAGCCAGCACCTACACTCACCCCCCACCCAAGAATCTTCCATGCTGAGGAATTCTTAGCAGGGGAACCCCTACCAGGGCAATTCAATTCACCTCTCTGAGCCTCAGTTTCCCTATCTCTCAAATGGAGATCTCAGTATCTACCTCACTGAGTTGTGACGATAATTTAATAGTATGGTATTTCTAAAGATGATGTCATATAGCATGTCAAAACAAGACCTAAAAAAATAGGTATTCTTAAACCGTCCCCCTCACATCCCACTTCAGAACTGGGGGGGCTTGCTGATCCTTCCCCACCCTTCTCCTCACATAGCACCTTAGCACTCTAGACTTCTAAGTTCTTCAGCATGGCCATATTTTCATAGCATTTTAAATAAACTTCTAATGAACTTAGGAAACATTTGTCACCCAAGACATTATAAAGCAATCTGTGCCATGAATTTTTGAGTAGCGCCACAAGACATAATTAACATGATTAAAGGACATTGCTCAAATGAAGAATCTCTTCATGTAGCCTATGGCCACCAGCTCATAAAGTATGCCAGGGCTTTTTCTAGCTTAAGGTCTTAGAGTTGTGTTATTGTTGTGTTTTTCCTCTAACTCCAGGGAACAGCTCCACGGGGTGTTCTTTTTATTAGCATCTAAAATGATCCGCAACCCCTGCACTGGAGCCATTGACTATGGAACAGACCAAAGAGCAAAACCTGCAAATAACACTCTTCCACATTCTGTTTTCTGTAACACGGCATTTCATTAGATCGTTGGATTCTTTCAATGATCATTGGATCATTGCCCAAAAGACATCCTACCATTCCAAGTACACGTTTCCCAGGCTTACAGACAGAGCAGTGCACAAGGAAACAACGACTCCTGCCCATGCAGTTTTCACACTTCATGGGAGTAAAAAGTGGTATCACAGGTGCTGTGGGAGTTATCAGAAGTAACAAAGGCCATGAGAGGTCTCTCCAAGCCACCTTAGTCATTCAGGGCTTTGTTTATTACAAAGGTGGTCAGCAAGATCAAAACAATAACTTACTTACGAAGAAGCTTGTCATCATTTGCCTCATATGGGCTATGGCTGTTGTGACAAAGTCACACTCACATCCTGTTGACTGAAAAGATGGCAGGGGACAAGTAGGCCTTATTGGGGAAAAAACTACTTGGGGTTGACTTCACAACTGGAAGTCCCAAAATGGAAATAAATGAATCCCAGTGTCCCTGGAATATAAAATACTGCTGCTCCTTACTTAATGCTGTCATTCATTTGACACACATGTACTGCATGTGGATTGGTGTCAGGCATCATGGCTGGTCCTAGGGCATGATGCTGAACAAAACAGACAAGTCTCTGCCATCCCAGGGTTTACAGTCCTAAGTGACAAGATAGATGTTAAATAATGACAGCCTTATCTGAGTCACAGCTGTGATAAGCACCGTGAGGGAGAATGCAGAGCCTGTGAGTTTGCCCAGCAGAGATACCCGGGCTAGTCTGAAGCAGAGGGCTTCGCTGAGGACACACAAGCTAAGACCTGAATGATGAGCAAACATTAACCAAGGGTCATGGGGAGGTAGAGGCCACTATGGCAGCTGCAGTTTTCCAGGCAGAGGGAAGAAGATGCAGGAAGTCATCAAGGAAGGAAGGGGTTTGGCAAATTTGAGAAACTGAAGGAAGGCCCATTTCTTAACAGAGAGGTGGTGTCTTTGTAAGACTGTAAGACATAAGTTGACCAGTCATCTGGTATGGGCCTGAGAAAAATGTTCTCCACATCCCTTTGTGGTTCTATTGAGCCCTTAGAATGGACCAGGGGTCGTAAACCCTCTCTGAGCTACCATCTGTGCACCCTGCAGCCCCACACCTACCCCTCAGTATTGTACCCCATCTCCAAGCCTGTCTCCCCTACTACACGGTATTGTCTCAGACTCGGACTGCCTCTTTCAAATGCATTTCCCCAGAGCTCAGCAGAGATTTTAATTCAGTAAATGTTTGGTAAGCTGAGATGAGCTGAACAACATCTACAAGATGCTCTAAAGAATCAACACCACCAGCCAGAAAAGGCCACGTATTGTATAGTTCTATTTACACGCAGCGCCCAGAGTAGGCAAACCCATAGAGACAGAAAGCAGATTAGTAGTTGCCAGGACCTGGGGGTGGGGGGATGAGGAGTGACTCCTAATAGGAATGGGTTTCTT